TGTCACAACAAAATCTGGTTGAATGGAGTTGGTTTCTAAGTACATCTTACCATGCCTTGTACACCAAGTAGATGTCTGTTTTGGGCCTCTTACATAGCTTGCTCGGTGCACCATGTCCCACTTGGGTGTTTACCCTAATGAAGAGGGTACCCAAGGTCCAAGATAACGACACCACCTTGTTGCTAGATCCAGCCTTTGCCCATACCTGTTGCCCTAATCCTTGCCATCGGCATTGACAAGTTGTTGAGGGGAAATAGAGAAAATTGCACTTGTCTATTTGTGTCGCGCCACGCCACTAGATATGTACCACCATCACCCTAGATTGGAGGTTGATGTCCCCACTAGATCCCCAAGCTTTAGATCTGCTGGCCACATATCAAAGACCTCCTAGCACGAATTAGTGCCCACTGGCCCCTAGTTGGTGCTCGCATACTTGGGCCCCACAAGAAAGGTCATAGTGGAGGTTGCAGCCACGAGACGGCTAGGGGGGCAGCATTACTTGCGAAAGGGCAGAGGGGGCCATAGTGGGAAGGAAGATGGGACGTCGATAGTCCTCGCGGAGGGGGCCACGCCAGGCTATCTGTCACATGCGCTTACCATCAGAAGATCTTGCTATCACTTCACCAAAACTGGCCATCATCGGAGCATTACAGTCATTTTATTCTTTTCTTTAATTTGTCTATCATGAGAAGTTTTGTCAAACAACTTCAGCTCTACCGGTAGAGTTGCTCATGATACTGAAGCAACTGAGTTGTGCCAAAAAGGGCCTAATTAAATCCTCAAGAAGTGAAAAATCATGTAAGTTGTGAATACCACTCCACATCCAACATATTCATCAAAATATGTCTGCTAACCGTGCCACTGAGATGCTCTCAGTACATTAAGGGCCTGTTTTGCAGGGCTTCTCTCCGGATCTAGCTTTGACTCCTCCGGAGGAGTCCTACCAATGTTTTGTAAGAGAAGCCGTTTTTCAATAAAAAGTAGAGGAGTCGGAGCTGTTTTCGAAGAGCCCCAATGGATCCTCCGAAGGCGCCCCTCGGGAGGAGCCTGCCAAACATCCCCTAAATAGTTGCATTTTATTTTTGACAATGCCAATAAAAAGGGAAAATAATTGGTATTAAAGATAAGCATTACGCGTCACAGCATATACCACCCCTGGTTACGCTTCATGTTTTTTATTATATTGTATGAGATATAATTTAGATTAGGGTCCTTCAGAAGATAAAATCCTGCTTTTATAGAGGGAAAAAAAAGATAACACACAACGACGCTTTAAAAAAGAACACACACACACACACAAGTATATGACAGTACTATTTACAGAAGCATCAAGGCATACCGATAGTAAGATCTTTGCCCATTGTGGCGCTGCAGTTGCAGTGCCATGGGACAAGATCCATGCGCGACCTTTTGCTAATCCATCGTTTTCCACCTCACCGAGAAGCCTCAAGGTGGCGTAGTTTAAGCAAGTTCCAAACATGGCGCTCTCGTCCAAGATGTTAAAGCCCCATCCGCCGTCCTCGTTCTAATTAAGCAAGAACAAAAAAAAAGGAGTAGTATACTTGATGTGATGGAGTATATACTTAATTAGTAATTAGGTGAAGCGAGCTGCGTCTTATGGTTTCTTTCGTGATGATTGTAATAATGGTTTGTTTTATTGTTTTAATATATATATATGATGATTTCTTATAAAAAGAATAATGTATTCTATTATGTTATAATAGTCTTGTTATACCTGATGGTTGTAGATATGACGGCATATCTCACGTATATGCTCTCTGGATAGGACAGCATCGATTGATCTTGTGATGTGCAAAGCGAAAATCTGTAAAACAAAAGAGAGAGAAAAAAAGGAAATTACAACAGAGCTCCCTTTAATCAATTTCTTTTATAGGCAGAGCCATATTATATGAGCAAGTGCGTGCATGCATATGTGAAAAAGTTGTGAACGGTTGAGGCACAGATACACGAACCCAGAACGGCAGCAGGTACATAATCCCACTGTAATCACCAGGCCAATGGCCATCTTCAGCTTGGAGAGCAGACATCCAGTCAAGCGCTCGTGTCAGCGACTGCAGCAGAATCTCTTCCGTCACCTCGTCTCCATCTTCTAGCTTCGCGGCGGCAGGCATATCCGCGAGCAGATGTTTTTTTCCCGTGAACTGTGCTCGTTACATCAATCATGCTACATGAGCTCAAGATCAGCGTAATACCTTTCTCTTAATGAAATAGGTGCCTCATGTTACGGTCGAGAAAAAATAACAACATAACACGCAGTATCAACTATACTAGGTACGCGCGGACGTGTCATCTACCAACGGTTTTAGCTGGATATGTAGGTACCTGCATGCGCATGAGGAGGTCCTGCGATTCCCTCCTTCGGAAGCGGTTCTCGGTGAACTGCCGACGAAGCTCCTCCACCTTGGCGCGCTCTTGGTCCGTGCCGGCGTCGGGGTCGAACTCCCACACCTGCCGGCCATGGAAGCCACTCACCGTCTGCATCCACGGCCCTCCACCCTCTGAGATCTTTAGCCTCCACATGGTTCACCGCCTAGCTCATCACTGAAACCTTCTGCAACAGCTTTAAAGGTTGGTTCATCTATCAGACTACTGATATTTTTTGATATGATATTTGTCATCTCGTGCCGACGATATAATTTAAAGAGGGCCTAGTTAAGAGGTAGTTGGACTGGACGAACAGATTCTATCCCTCGGATGGGCACATCATGGCCGGGTCCTGGCTCATTGAAGTGCATGTAGCTAGGATCCTGCACTCCTGCTCCCTCTGTACTTTTTTTTTCTCTTGAATACGTAAAAGATTTACGTATCATTATAATTAAGAAGAAGAGTTTAACTATACACACGATATGTTTCTAATAAGCGCTCTAGAAGGTCTTATAGGTGTGACTGGATCTTCCTAGTAGACTGTTTCGAACTTTGATATTACATAAAAGTAAACCACCGAATTAAGAACAGCGCAGAAACCTACGGTCTCCGCTGCTGGCCGCGCGACCCTGCTCCGTCATCCGAGAAGGGTCTTCTACCAGTCCTAGCATTGGTCGCCGGGAACAGCTCGTCCAGAGCTTTCACTTTGCTCGACGTCGAGTTCCCTGAAAATAAGTCGTCGTATGCTCACTTAGACACGAATGAAATTGGAGCTGCGGCGCTCCCTCTGTACTTTTTTAAGGTGTACTATCACAATATCTGTTTGAAGCCCATGACATGTGCATACATCCGCTGAAGCATCATGTCGCTCCATGCATGTGTTGCCCACATCCATAGCTCCTTGCCGTAAGCGTGCCTTGCAGCCACGACCGGAAACTGAAATTTCCTGTTGGTGCAAAACCGACAGGAAAACAGCAAATATCGATAGGTAGAAAATCAATTTCCCTGTCGGGACACCCAGAGGGGATAACAAGAGGAATACACCGACAGGCAAAAGTGACAAATAGAAAATTTTGTTGTGAGTGGATAAATTTCCCTGTACAGGAACTTCGTTACCGACACAACATCGACAGGAAAATTCTCAGCTCTATCGCTGTCGATCCATGTCATCAAATTATTTAGTTCAGAAATGACACCAACAATTACAGATATCATGTGAAATTGGGAAAATTCTCAGCCAACCAGGTCTAGAATTTTATCGCTATCAATCCATGTCATCAAATTATTCAGTTCAGAAATGACACCAACAATTAGAAATATCATGTGAAATTGGGACAAATATTTCGTCCAAAAAGAGTAATAATCTACTCTATAATCTATAAAAAAAAATACATTGAAGCTTCACTCCACTAATGTTTCAGCAAACAATCTGGCAGCTGTATATCAAGCTTGTTCGGCTAATCCAGAATCAGCTTGTTTCAACTTATTCTCTCTCACATAATACTATTGAATCAACCGAAATCAGCCGAAATCAGTCAAAAACTGATCAGCCGAACGAGCTCAAACGTTTGCGTATCTTGCACTTGTCTTTGAAGACTTGGATCTGCAGGGTTCATCCTCGTTGAACAAAACCTGTAGTGGAACATTATGCTGTTAGAGATCGTACAAATTATGAGTTGGATAATCATGACAACAATTAGGAGCAGATATACTCGTCAGGCGAAAATAATTTCTAGAAAAAATAACTAAGCAATACTCCCTCTAATTCAAATTATAAGCCATTCTATCTTTCTTGGAGAATCAAAGCATCTCAAGTTTAACCAAATTATAGAGAATCAAAATCATAGAGAATTACAAAAAATATGACATCAAATAGGTAAACTATAAAACTATAATTAATGAAGAATCTAATGATAATTATTTGATACCATAAATATTATTATTTTATTATATAAATTTGGTCAAAATCTTGAAAATATGTTTTTTTTGTCAAAATTAGTTTTAAGATGTTATATTTGGTCAAAGTATAGGCAAAGTTCAAAAAAGCGCTAAGCGCTAAGCGAGCGGTGACCCGCCGCTTAGAGCTTAAGCAGGCTTAAGCGTACAAAGCGTCGCTTAAGCATTTTTGTACTGTAGCAAATCAGATTCATGTAATAGGCTGTGAACTTGAGAAGTATAAATAAAAACATACCTTATTTGATCTTATTTCTAGACTTGTAGTGTACTGGTACAGCTCTGCAATTGTTGGACTTGTACTGGTACAGCTCTGCAATTGTTGGTTTCATGTTGTAATGTTCCTAATGGTCACATATATGGGAAACATCAAATGTTGATTAGGTTCATAAAACAAAAAATATACCTCATGATTAAATATTTATAAACAGATAAGGCGAATAGTAATTGCAAGAACACTACTACTTAGTTCATAAGAATATAACATTGCATCTGAAGTTCATAAATCATAGTTTCAGGTCCTACTTAGTTCCAAATTAAAAGATACACCATTGCAGCCCACTCATGAGCATGACAGTACAACACAACTGATAAATTGATAAAACATCAATGATGGCAATGCATAGATAGACATAACAAAAGATGCCGTCATTCCAGCTAACTCATTCATCTTCATCCATGCCATCTAGCCCATCCTCGTTGTCAAATTCCTCTTCTTCATAATCAAATTCCTCTTCTGCATAGAACTCTCTTATTCTTGAACTTCGACGCAACTCTAGTTGTTCACTTGCTCCCATTGCTTCTCCAATAACAGTCCAACGTATCCCTGTACCGGGCATTTCTTCTTCATCATCATCCTCATAGACAACTGTTGCACACTCATCTTCACCATCAAATATGAAACCTTGAGCTTGCATGACATCATTGGATAAGAGAACATCAGTAATCTTCTTTGACTTAATCTGTTGTCTCCTGCTCATGAGTTTGGAATTGAATTGTATGAAGACAAGAGAGTTTAGGCGGGCTATAGTTAGCCTATTTCTTTTCTTAGTATGTACCTACAAATAAACATAAGAATTAAGAACATAAGCAAATCAGGTTGGAGAATAAACTAAATATTCAGACTTGAGATTACAGGTTACTGACCAAATAAAAAACACTCCAGTTTCTTTCGCAGCTTGAGGAGTTTGAAGTTAGTGAAAGAATTCTCATAGCCATCCTTTGTAGAACAGGTGTTTCATTTCCATAGAGTTTCCACCAAGATGCCGAAACAAACACTAAGAGAACTAAGTTTTGCACAAATAAATAAAAAAATACTGGAAGCAAATCTTGTTACTCCCGTCCTGACTATATCTCTACGCTCTGTGAAGTGTCTCATGCATTCCAAGGTTCTTGTGTGCCCATACACAAAGGTAGTGAATGCCTTTGCTTGGCCAATTACCTTCTGGAACCTCTTTTGGCTGCCAATTCCTTGCGGCATCAAGTTTATTGTGTGAGTTGCACATGAGGTCCAAAATATGTTTGGTCTCTTCTCATGCAACAACTTCTTTGCTCCCATGTTATTAGAAGCATTGTCAGTCACTACTTGCACTACATCATCAGGGCCAATTTCTTCAATTGCTTTGTCCACTAGTTCAAAGATGACTTCACTTGTGTGTGACACATCTGACATCTCCTTTGAGCTGATAAAACTTGTTCCATCAGCACAATTCATGCACAAGTTCATTATGCTTCTCCTTTTCTTATCAGACCAGGCATCAGTCATGATAGAGCATCCATTCTTCACCAGCATCACGTTCCTGGTTCTTGCATATTCCTCATTCAACAAAACCTCCCTTAAATGATCTTGAGAAGGAGGTTCAAATCTAACACCAAATTGACCAATTGCTTCACACATTTGTACAAACTCATCATTGTCAATAGCATTAAATGGTATGGCTGTGAAATAGAGAAAAGAATACAAGTTAATTACCATGTGTATTTTCAAACAATAATGTACATAAAGTATACTAGAATAATATATGCAAGGGACGTGATTAGTGAATTACCATGTGTATACATCCATCTTGCAACATACTGTTGCACCTCATGTGTTCTCTGTTTCTAAAGTTCCTTGTTTATCTTTTGTTGCTTCAAGGCTTCAGCTTGTGTTGATTTAGGATCAATTGACCTTGTCCACTTATCAATGGTACCTAACTTGTGAGGCTTTGAGCTGCCAAGCAGGATCCTTCTTTCTCTCCTCCTGAAACTCGAGAAACAGACACTTCTTCTCTAAGATTGAGCTCACAAATAGCCTTTTCTTTCCTCTTATTTGCTACTGCATCTAGTGCTTTCTTACACTTTGCTTTATCTTCTTCTATGCTCTTTTCACATTTAGCCACAGAATTCCCAACACCTGCTATGTGTTGCTTCATACGAAACCCCCCTATGCTCACATGTTTACATAGCTTGCACTTCAACTTGTTAAGATTGGTAGGATCACATAGATACCCATATTCTCATCCTACATCATCTGACTTCCTCTTGAGAGGCAAAGTTTCCTCTACTGCTGACTGGGGTTCTCCTACTACTTGTGTCCCAGCAACCTCCATCCTATAATTAATTAATTAGTATTCTATTAATCTAGACAAGGACAAGAAGCAAAGGAATTAAGCATAGACTAACTAATCACTAATCTGTAGTGCTGCACAACACAACAAGAAATCTAAAAGCACAAAACAAAACAAGAAATCTATATTCTACTAATCTGTACAACAAAAGCAGGGAAGAAATTAGACATAAACTAATCTAGCAATCCAAGACTGCACATGCGCACACCTATATGGAACTGGAGCCTAGCAGTAGCAGTGTAGCACACATTAGTACTCAAAGGAGGGGGAGGGAGGAGAAGGGAAGGGAGAACCAAGTGGAGAACGGAGAAGCAGAGGAGACAGGAGCAGACAGTGAAGAAGTCAAGCAGAGGTAGAGGAGCTCACCTTGCCGAGCGTGGGGAAGAGAATCGAGAGGACGACACCGGAGATGGGGGCGGCTCGAGCTCGACCTTGGGGAAGAGACGTCGGACTTGGGGAAGAGACCGACGAGCTCGACCTCCTCCAGCGGCGACTCGAATCAACAGTCGGTGGACGTCAAGCGTCGGTCTGGCGTCGGCGGGCGTCCCGCGTCGGTCTGCGGGCATCGGTCGGCGGGCGGCGGCGGGAAGTCTCTTCTGCTTTTATCCCCTCCTCTCCCGCGCCTCAAATCGGGTTTCGCACGGCGCGCGAATGATTGAACTTCCGCACGACACGCATCCATCTCCCACACTGCATTCCCGCACTACCTTTCCCGCCCGATCGCTGGCTCGCTGAGCGGCCGTGGAGCAGGGCTTCCACCGTGCCTTTCTCTGCCTCAGCGGCTTCTGCGCGCGTCCGCGTCCGCTGAAGCGCTAGCGCTGCTTAGGGGCCACTTATGGTGCGAAGCGAAGCGGCAGCCTCCCGTGTAGCGCTTCAACGCGCTTAAGCAGACGCTTAATACCGCTTTTTGGAACTTTGACTATTGGAGATACTCTAACTATTAGTTTTTCAAAATTTGTAAAGTTTGACTTATCTTAAATCTAGAATTATACTTTTTGTTGGACACAACCAGTAAAAAAGACACGCTAAACTTGTAATGAAATAGGAGTAAATGCAATCAACCTTGGACTTAGGCCAACCTCGATGCAAGGTTTCATGTCACTGTTTCCATGACGTGACACTACTAAAAACTGAGTATCAAACAGGTTCTCTCAATGCACAGTTTCATTTCACGGTTTCATAGGCTAGCTGCAACATTTAATTCCTGTATTGTGTTATGATCAATTATGTCATGTGAACTATGTAGCCATTTAATTTGTAAATGAAAATATATTAGTTGCCTTCAATATTCATAGGATATGAAATGGAGTCGCATATATGAAAATAATTTTAGATACAATATATCTTAAACTACATATTAATTCAATATTTGATTGACACACTCAAATTCATATAGCTATTTCCACACTACAGGCTGTAGCATTCACATTCAGATAGGAGTTTTCAGAACTCTGGCAAAAAGTCGATCACAACTAACCAAATTCTTCACCGAGCAGCTTTTGCTCAATCCTATGTATTACCTTCTCTCGGTTAGACTTATCACTTATGTCTTGTTTATTCAATTGAATTGAACATAACTCAATCAAATATGCTCAGTGGTACATACCAATGAAATCTCCAATGATACCAACACGTTCAGAATGAAATTTGTTCTACTCAGTGGTCTAAAACTACAAAGCAAATTAAAGATTCTGAAATTATATTGAGCCAAATGCTATTCTGAAATTACTGAGCCAAATGCTACTTTAAAATTACCAAGGCCTTGTTTAGTTGATGAAATTTTTTGGGAAATGGTACTGTAGCACTTTCATTGTTATTTGGCAATTAGTGTCAAATCATAGTCTAATTAGGCTTAAAAGATTCGTCTCGTGAATTTTGTCTAAACTGTGTAATTAGTTTTATTTTTATTTATATTTAATGCTTGATGCATGCGTCCAAAGATTCGATGTGACGGAAAATCTTAAAAATTTTTACAAAATTTTGGGAACAAAGAGGCACAAAATTATCCCAACTTGGCACTGAAGTTGCAATCAAAACATGAGTCTTACCATGAATCTTTACTTTGCAGACTTAACAGCAGAGGGGCATGGCAGCAGTGTCTTGTACAGACGTTACTAAACAATATTCAGAAGCACGAACAAGAGTACTACGGATCTGTAACATAAACAAGTTAAAATGTAGGGATAGAAAAATTGATCTGGGTCTCCATTGTACTCCTTGCGGCGGTGCATAGGAGGAAATCGGTGATGTAGACGCATGCGCAAGCGAAGAACTCGGCAGCGGCGCAGGGGGGACGGACTCAGCAGTGGCAGAGGCGACGCCGCTTTGCGATTGCGCCGGGTCGTGGCCAACCCTGTGCCCTTTTCCTCCCCTGCCGGACCCGCGTCGCCCTGAGGTTTCCGTCGCCGCCGCCGCCGCTGGAGCCGCGCCCAACCGGAGACTGGGGAGATGCCCGGAGCGGAGGAGCAGGGAGGCCCTGGAGATTCGACCCGCGTGCTCGCTGGGAAGGGAGAGGAGGTGCGTGCGCAGCTCGCCGTACCGGATCACGGTGATGAAATGAACCTGCCTCAGTGCGGGTTTCGTGCCATGGAAACAGCGCCAGTTCGTTTCATCCGCATCAAACGATAGACTGACCTTATTTAACGTGCATAAAACTCCTACAAAATTAGCATTGAGACTGACCTTAGGACAGTATTATACGCGATGTCAAAGAGAGCCACCTCAGCAAATATTCATCTATACAAACTACCACACACACAATAGACTGTCTTCGCGTAATAAATATTAAACTTCTCTCTCCCTTATCCCTTCCTCTCCCATACTCTCTCTCTACTGTCCTTCCCTGCTTCTCTCTCGACCACACACGATGCAGAACGCATGCCGCGGCGCGGGCGAGCACTCCAGTGGCGCGAGGGAGCACTCCGGCGCCCACGCGGGGGAGCACTTGCGGCGGCGCTGGTGAGTGCAGTGGCGGGCGAGCGCTCGCGGCGGGCGAGCACGGCGAGCCCTCCCGGCAGCCGACGAGCTGTCGCGGCGACGTGGGCGAGCGCGATGGCGGCCTGCGAGCGCACGTAGCGGCGGCGGGCGAGCGCGGTGGCGACCTGCGAGCGCTCGCGGCGGGCTAGCGCGCGGGCGAGCTGTCGCGGCGAGATTTCGCAGCGGCGCGCTGGCCAGCGCTGAGGCGTCCAGCAGGGCTCCCGTGGTGGCTCAGGCGAGCGCGCGTAGCGGCGGCGCGAGCGAGCGGACGCGACGGCCGGCGAGCGCGCGGCCAGCGGAGCCGCGGAATGAGCGCGTGCAGCGGCGGCGCGAACGAGCGGCCAGCGGAGCTGCAATACGAGCGCGTGAAGCGGCGGGGCGGGCGAGCTCACGCGACGGTCGGCGGGCCATCACGGGCGATAGAAACGGCTCGTTTCCTCCCAACGGTGAAATCGCCATTTCCTGGTGCCTCGGTGCAAGAGCAGACGTCGTTTCGTACAGAAGAAACTGTTTCTTCTATTTCTAGGGCGTGTTTAGTTCCGAATTTTTTTTTTTGGCTTTTGGCTACTGTAGCATCTTCGTTTGTATTTGGTAAAAATTATCTAATTATGAACTATTTAGGCTTAAAAGATTCGTCTCACGATTTCTCGGCCAACTGTATAATTAGTTTTTTTTTCATCTACATTTAGTACTCCATGTATGTGTCGTAAGATTCGATGTGACGGAAAATCTTGAAAAATTTTAGGTTTTGGGTTGCATCTAAACGGGGCCTTAGTGGGTGTTGGTCTCCCATATCATCGAATGTTTGATAGTATTAAATATAGATTAATTACGAAACTAATTGTATAGTTTGCGACTAATTTACTAGACGAATCTTTTAAGCCTAATTAGTCCATGATTTGACAATGTTGTGCTACAATAAACATATGCTAACGATGAATTAATTAGGCTTAAAAAATTCGTCTCGTCGAGTACTGACGGATTATGTAATTTATTTTTTTATTAGTATCCGAATACCCCATATGACACCCTCATTTGACACATCCTAAATTTTAGTTACTGGATCCAAACATCCCCTTAGTCTCTTTCCTCGTTAATTAAACTGTCATATCAGTGTTTTGCTTAGTTGGCAAGTCATTTAATTGAGATAGAAACCACAATCAGTTCTCTATTGGGAGTGCCCAGCTTGTTGGCCCCGTTCGGCTGGTGCAAAAATTAGCCGGAATTTCACTGTTTACGGCTAAAAGTTACTATTTATGGCTGATTTCTTCTCACAAATTTCTTTAGATTCATTTAGATTTCTTCAAATTTCTTCTAGCGAACGGAGCCATTAGGTGCTGCTGTCATTATTATATTAATTAATTAGTCATACACCATAAATACATATAGGGCGTATTTGGCACACAGCACAAGCAGTTGGTGATAGGCATATGCATGTGGCAAACATACTCGCAAATGATGCCCATGAAGCGTTGCAGCTTATGGGGGAGGTGAGTCAAACGGAA